CGACGACGTTGCCTAAATAAGGTGGAGCGGGCTTCGCGTTCGCGCGGGATTCTGGGAGATGTAGTTCTCTCGTTGCTGCGTCATGAGCCTATTCTGTACATGTGTATGAATGGCACAACAGGTCTGTCAGCATCTGTAAAGAATGGAGGACATGAAATAAGTTGAACCTTGTGCATGAGGATAAACAGACGTTGTTTTAAATGCTTTCCTTCCCTCCTAATTTTCGATGCTGTTTGCAATCTGGGATGCTTAAAAGGAGACAATATCGGTTGCATAGAAGAAATTACAAAAACGTTGCAACCAAACCTGAGACATCGTTTGTTTACAATGTATTGTGCAAATGCAGTGTGTTCCATTTGCCAGCTCTGCCCCTAATCAATCCCCACGAGGGACTTGGTCCAGAAGCAAACAATGTTCTCTGGGGTCTGAAGGTCGCAAACCATGCCCATGAACACCATAGCTTAAATTCTTATGTTTGCATATGTTTAGTGTTTGAATGAGGTACAGCAACAAGTATTGAAAATCATTGTGGATAAAAGTTTCTGCTAAATGTCCATCTATACCTTCTTCTATTTTAAAGATATGAACGAAAATAGGATCAGTCCTGGGTCTACTGCTTTTCGTCATTTATCTAAATGATTTGGATGTGAACATAGGAGGTATAGTTAGTAAGTTTGCAGATGATACCAAAATTGGAGGTGTAGTCAACAGCAAAGAACGTCATTTCAGAGTTCAACAGGGCCTTGATCAGATAGGACAAAGGGCTGAGGAGTGGCAGATGAGGTTTAATTTAGATAAATGTGAGCTGCGGCATTTTGGAAAGATAAATCAGGACAGGACTTATACACTTAATGGTAACGTCCTGGAGTGTGTTGCTGAACAATCCTTAAAAGTGGAGCCGCAGGTAGATAGAAGGTGTTTGGTATGCTTGCCTGAAAACCAACTCTCCATTGGCCCAACTCTCCACTGTTTTTCTGAAGAAGGGTCCAGACCTGAAACGTCAGCTTTCCTGCTCCTCGGCCTGCTGTGTTCATCCAGCTCTACACCTTGTTATCTCAAACAGACTGGACTGTGATCTCTTATGATTACAAAGATAATGAGGGACTGACAAAACCCTGCTCAACAAGTCACCCCTGCAGATTATGTTTGTGTTTTCTTTTCTCCTCTACCGTCAAAATTGGCCTTCCTCCAATTTAGAATTCTGACTTTTAGATCAGGTTTATCCTTTTCCATAACTATTTTAAAACTAATGGAATTATGCCCCAAGTAGGTACGTTCACATACTGAATGAGAAAATTTTCTTGTACACACTTAACAAATTCCTCTCCATCTGATCCCTTAACACTATGGCACTTTGAGTCTGCTCCGGCGATCAACTGATTTTAATCTTAACTCGACATTCTTGTATCGCACCAACCTCCACCTCCCCCCTCTGGATAATCTTTCATCCCCTTGGTAATCAAGAATCTATCTACTTCTGTCTTAGGAATATTTATGGGGAGCCAGTGAAAAAAAAGGTGGGCCAAGAAGCCTCCTTCTATTGTGTATCAATATGAGATTCTGTGGACAAGTCCCTAGGGAGCTGCAAAGACTTAGACTTCCGAGTGAACTGCAGCTGTCATCTCCTCATAGGACCAAGATGATAGGGTAAGGGGTGGGTCTGGGTGGGATGCTGCTTGGCAGGTCAATATGGACTTGATGGGCTGAATGGCCTGTTTCCAGCCATAGGGGTGCTATGAGTCTAAAAAGACTCTCTCAACTCAAATGCTGGAATTCACTCATGGTCAAAAGGAATCAGAGCTACAGAATCTCAACCATTCTGCAAAACTAAGGATCATGAAGGCAACATCAATTATTGGTAACCTCCACTCCAACGGCAGCAATGTTCAACTGTCCACTCAGAAACATTTTTTTTAAATACTTTTATCTTACAACTTATTTCTGATCTGTGTGTTGTGTTACTAATTCTTCCCCTATGGAATGATTAATGAACTCACTCTTTGTTAACTCAAGAAAGCCTTGATGAATTGGCTCCTTTCAAGTTATACATTAATTTAGGCCTGGGAGAAAGATATCCACAAAGGAAAGGATCTTTTTCAAATTAAATTTTGTTGCAACCAACCATGAGGATGAGCAAGTAAAGAAAGGGAGCTAGTTCATTCGTTTTACCCAGAAGCTTAACACAAAAACATAGAAAATAAAAGCAGGAGTAGGCCATTCAGCCCTTCGAACTTGCTCTGCCATTTGATTCGATTGTAGCTGATCATCCAACTCAGTCTCCTGTTCCTGCTTTCTCCCCATACCTTCTGGTCCCTAACTTCTACTTGAAAGCACTCAATATTTTGGCCTCAACCACTTATGGCAACAATCATAGAGTCATACAGCACAGAAACAGACCCTTCAGTCCAACTCATCCATGCCGACCAGATATCCTAAGCTGAACTAATCTTATTTGCTGTGGATCTGGAGATGGCAGATTTCCTTCCCTAAAAAGGAATTCATCAACCAGGTGGGGGATTTTCAGAACCATTGGCAGCAGTCATTATTACTTTAGTTTTTAAAAAGCAGAGTAAAAATCTGGAATTAAAAATTGAATCTTCTATCTATCAGAAGGTTAGAAGTGGGGATGTTCTCCTCATCAGAAACTGAAGCAGTCCATATCAAAATAAGGCAAGAGCCAGAGAACACACAGGCTCACTTGCAAATGTGGCAAGTAACATTCATGCCATATAAATGCCAGGCCATAACAATCTCCAATAAGAAAAACAAGCTAACCATAACCTCTTGGACTTTCATTGGGGTTATCATTATTGATTGGGGAGTGGAATTCAGTAACCTGGGCGTTACCATTGACCTGAAACTCAACTGGACTCACCACAAACTGTTCACCTTCTCAACAGCAACTTTTAAAAAATTATTCATTCACAGGATGAGGGCATTGCTGGCTAGACCAGTATTTATTTCCCATCCCAGAGGGCAGTTAAAGAGTCAACCACATTGCTGTCGGTCTGGAGGCCAGATCAGGTAAGGATGGCAGTTTCCTTCCTTAAAGGATATTAGTGAACCAGATGTTTTTTTCCTGACAAATGACAATGGATTCATGGTCATCATTAGACTCTTCATTCATTGAATTCAAATTCCACCATCTAGCATGGCAGGGTTCAAACCTTTGAGCCCAGGTCTCCAGGACATAGCCTAGTGGTATTACTGTAGGACTGTAGGTAATCACCTCCCCAAAGAATGGGCTATAATTAAGGGTGGGTAATAAATGCTAGCACAGTCAGTGACATCCACATTCCACAAGCAAATTTTTTTTTAAAAAAATCACCAACTGTCATGGTGGGAATTCAAGCCCATCTCCCTAGAATGTTATTACTCTCACTGATGCAGTTATGGACAAATTACATCTACAACATGCAGATTGGCGAGGACGAGATTAGACCTGGAATGTGTTTCCTTCTTCTCTAGATGATTGCTCTGGGTACCTGGGAAGTTAGATCAGCTGCCTCATTTCTCAACTATTATTTGTCACATGAACTGTGGGGGTGGGGGTGGTGATGGCGATGGCGATGGCCTAGTGGTATTGTCACTGAACTGTTAATCCAGACACCCAGACTACATTCTGGGGACCTGGGTTCAAATCCTGCCACAGCAGATGGTGGATTTGAATTCAATAAATATCTGGAATTAACAATCTAATGATGACTGTGAATCCATTGTCAATTGTTGGAAAAACCCATCTGGTTCACTAGTGTCCTTTAGGGAAGGAAACTGCCATCCTTACCTGGTCTGGCCTACATGTGACTCCAGACCCACAGCAATGTGGTTGACATTGAACTACCCTCGGGGCAATTAGGGGTGGGCAATAAATGCAGCCTAGCCAGCAACACCCTCATCCCATAAACAAATAAAGGGAAAAAAAAATAGCATTGCAGACCAAAAAGATGGTGCCTGCTCCTTTAAATGGGCACAGCAGCCCCATTACCACAAGTAAAATGTTTTAAAAAATCCAAAGCCACTTCAACAGCAACTGAAGAATGAGATGTGTGTAAGGCAATGGGAGCAGGAATTGCATGGCAGATTGCTCAGTAAGGCGTTTGAGTGCAAGTATGTGAGGGGGTACAGTGGATCATGTCAGTCGGGGAAGGAGTTCAGGGAAACACTTAAGCATCCCTTGCAGGAAGGAGGCTTGGCAGGGTCATGGTTATGACAGGAGTAGGAGGGGGTCAGTTTTAAATTTCGCCAGACATTTGAGGTGGTTTTAATCCTGCGGTCCAAACCCTCTGATCTCTGACTCAAACCCGGAGTTCAGGACTTTTGCGGATGATTTCAGACGCTGGGTTATTGCCGAATGAACTTCAAAGAGATCCCAATGAGCATTGTTCAGAGCAAGTTCATTCTCCTCTCTGACACTATCTATCTGGAGAGAGAAAGATATGGGCCACTTATCAGGACAGCCTGTAAGAAAGGAACGCACCAATTTGCAGCTCATTGTTACGGAGGACTGAAGGAAAATTACCCCAGTCAGAGCAGTGAAAGGACCAACACTTACTCCAATCACCCTACCCCTTTTCATCTCCCCTCCCCTGTCTCTGGGTAGGGGTACAACTGGCAAAGCCAATAATTAATGCCCAACTCAGCATTCTCGATAAGATGATGACAAGACTTTACCCAGTGCATAGAAGTACTCCAATAATGGAATTCCTAGATGCTCATATTAGATTAGTAACACAAATAAATGAACATATGAAATAGGAGCACATGTAGGCCATTCTGCCCATCAAACATGCTCTGCCATTCAATAAGATCTCTTTTTGATTCAAATTCCACATTGCCATCTAACTCCAAATAGGCTCGATTCCCCTGCTCAACTGGAATCGATTTATCTCAATCTTAAAAAGTATTCAATGAGGAGGCAAAGAACAAAACACAAGTTCAAATCTCACCATGTAATTTAAAAAAACTTTTTAAAAATTCTAGAAATAAAGGGGCTAGCAATGTAAAAAGGGTCACACTCTTTTTATTTGATGTATAAACAATATATTCATTTATCCAGTTAAAAGTGTTGGACCAAAATAAAACAAACAGGCAAAATGCCACAAAAAAAGAGTGAAATTCTAAGATAATGTACGTGCATTTTTTAAGAAAAAGATTAGTTTTGCTGAACCTGGTTAAATGTGGAACCTTGGAAAACACACCAACCATAAAATAGTTCTAGGTCTAATGTTGTAACATAATGTTTAACACAGAGCACTAAGGTGATTGGTGCTTTAAGGCAATCACATGACCAAGCAGCTTGATTGGGCTCAGGGACATCTGAAACGGCAAACCAATCCAACAGCAGCAAATGCATCAGCCGTGCAAGTGTGCACCTTGGCTTTTACTGGACTGAAGTACAGATTTTCTAACAGCAGTGTGGGTGTACATAATTCACGTGCACTCCAGTGATTCATGGCAGCAACTCACCATCATCTTCTCAAGGGTAATTACGACGGGTAATAAATGCTAGCCATGCCAACAATGCTCACATCCGGTGGAAAAAGACAAAACAAAAATTCATGGGACCAGGAGGAACTAAGGTTTTCTCCCTACCATCAGAATCTCTCTCTTACATAAAGAAAACAGGTTAACTTCCCATCCTTAAGACTATTATGTAGAGGTGATGACATTCAGAATGATCCAGACACAGTCAGGGAGTTCACTAAGAAGAGACAACCACAAGAAAACTCAAAGAGTCTGGTTCCATATTACTTTCACATCTCCCCACCCCACACACGATCCCCTTCCTAACCCACTAAATAATCTTGATCTGTTGGCGGAGTTTGAAATTGGTCCCTAAAAGTGCACAGTCCCATACACAGTCACAGCACTCCACGTACAGTTAATATCTCAACCAATTATTCCATAATGATATTGTCAAAAGCAAGGAGAGAACCCATTCTGACTCTGGGCTTGCAGTCAAGCAGTCAATGGCCTGGTTACTTCACGGAGAGCTGCCAGGAATCGGTGTAATGCCCAAACCACACAATTCCTCATCTTTAAGATATAACAACTCAGTGCAAGGCAAATATTATTCATTACGTGAGCAAAGACTTGGCCCATGCCCAGTTTCTTTAATATAAAAAGAAATAATAGAACAAATGTTTCTGTTTAAAAAAATGTGTTCATAAGGTATTTGGCAGGACAGTCGACTTAAGGCAAGGTGATCTTTAAAAGTACAAGAAGCCCCAGCTCCCCTCACTCTTCATCACTGTGAGTCTCTGTTTCGGAAACAGACAGATCCATCTTCCAAGCCAAAGTACACTCTTTCTGCCATGCCGATGAATAATCCCGTCTCTACCACTCCTGCAGAGGGACAGAGCATTTAAAAGTTAGAAGTACTTCATAGACATTTCAGGACCTTTAACTCTTTCCTCTTAAAGATGTGTTGGGTTATGGACCAGCATTTGTTATCTGTCCCTTCGAGAAGATAGTGATGGGCCACCTTCCTGAACCGCTGCCATCCAGGCACAGTTGTTAGACCCACAGTTTGGGAGGGAATTCCAGGATTTTGATATTGGGACAGTTGAGGAGATCTTGAAGGTAATGGACATTCCAATGTATCTTCTATCCTCTCTCCTCATCTCTTGAAGGGAATGAGAAATCTCCCAACACTGTGCCAATAACCAGTGCCTTGCCCAAAGGTAGTCTAGACAATGCAAGTACTTATCTAGGTTTTAGCATCAACAACCAGCTAAACCAACTGGACAACATCCCAACCAAATCACCTCACCTTCCTCCTCCTCTACGCTGGATTCAGTAACCGTGAGGTTATCAGATTGCCATAAAATTGGACAGGTTCGCTATTACGAAAGGAAATCTGCCGTCTTTATACAATCTGGTGACTCCAGTCCCACACCGACGTCGACCCTTAACCACCCTTTGAAGTGGCCTAAAAGACGGTCAATTGCATCAACTCAAAGGGGCAAAAATCAGGGTGACACTCAAATCCTGAGAATAAAAGGAAAACTGATACAAGTGTATTAAAAAACACAGCTTTCTGGACTGAATTAATTCAGATCAACCACATCAAACAGAGGTGACAATCTTTTAGAACATGCAACTAATTTGGAGATAGTAGCATAGTGGTAAAGTTATTGGAGTAGTAATCTAGAGGCCAGGGCCAGAGGCAAGTTCAAATACTTCCATGACAGCTTGGGCAGGGGGGTGGAATTTAAATTCAGTTAAGAAAGAAATCTGGAATAAGTCTCAGGAACAAAACAACTCAATTCAAGAGGATTTTGTGAACAAATTCTCTCCAGAGAATGAAATCGGCCTCCCTTACCCTGTCGGGCCTACATGCGACTCCAGGCCAACAGTAAGGTGGTTGACTCTTAACAGGCCCAGCCAGCCAATCAGTTCACAGAAGCTTCAGGGATGAGTGACAAACGTTGACCCCACACTCCAAGAATGAAAGAAAGAAAACATCAGTAACTGCTAAGAACTGGATGTAACTCTATGGCACAGAAATGGACACAGGCACCCACTTAGTTGGAGAAAGAATGCACATGCAAAATAAAGCCAGCAAAAGCTTATACGTGAAAGAGAAGTGGAAGAGGTGGTCAGCATACTAAAAGGAAGAACAGAATATGCACACAAAAGGCTGCGAAGGAAAGGGACAGTTTACACTAATCCTCTAAATCCAGACCAACCTTATGCCTAAAAGAGTCAGAATCATACAAATACATAAGAGACCTGAGTATGTACTATTAGAAGTACAATATTACCTACACTTGTCTCACTTTCCAGCACTAGGCCCATAGCCTTGAATGTTATGACATATCAAATACTCATCCAAGTACTTTTTAAAGGTTGAGAGGTTTCCTGCCCTGACTACCCTCTCAGGCAGGGCATTCCAGAACACCACCACCTTCTGGGAGAAAAATATTTCCCACCAATACCGTCTAATCATCCTACCTTAGGCTCCCCCCTCAACCTTCTCTGCTCCAAAGAAAACAATCCAAGTTTATCCAGCCTCTCTGAGATGCTCCATCCCAGGCAACACCCCCTCCAGTGTAATCACATCTTTCCTATTGTGTGTTCGCTTCTGGTCACCATCACTCCAACTGTGGCTTAACCAAGGTTCTGGGCAACTCCAACAAGAACCTCCCTGCTCTTATAATCTTTGCCACAACTGATCAAGGCAAGCATCCCATTTGTCTTAACTACCTTATTAACCTGTCCTGCCTACTTCCAGGATCTGTGGACAAACACCCCAAGATTCCTTTGAGCTTTCTAGTGTCCTGCCACTCGAGTCCTCCTTTGCTTTGTTCTTTCTTCCAAAGTGCATCACCTCACATCAATCAGGGTTAAATTCCAACTACCACTGATCCAACCAGTTTACATCTTGCTGTAACCAAAGACCTTCCCTCCTCACCAGCTAATTTGTGTCATCTGCAAACTTATCATCCCTCCCACTTTCTCATCTAGAGATATTTATGACTATCTCAAACAATAAAGGGACCCAGCACTGATACCTGTGGTGTCGACACTGCACACAGAGCTACAGTCTTTCTTGTTTCTGTACATCGCTCAACTGTTACTAGCAGGCAGCTTACACACACTAGCAAAACTTACTGTGACATCTGAAGGTGACTGCAAACTATTAGCCCATTAAAACTGTGTATCTACATTTAGAATTTAAGCAATTTCCTTACCTGGAATCATTTTAATGCTGACATTCACCTTTCTCCAATCAGAGACGCTATTAAACTTCCAATCCAGAATGAAATTCCCATTATCCGTCACCACTGGTCCCTAGGATTAATCAAAATGTTGAAAGGGCTCAATTCTCTCTCAGCTCTCAATTCCTGGACATTAAAAGCCCAAAAGAACACACTTAAGATCCCTGGTTGCCATTTGTCATTTTACGAGACATTAACCAAGGCTCAGGTGAGAGTACCACCCAATAGGAGCCTTAAGATAGGTTCAAATCCCAAACAAGCATCAAGTCTAAGCTGACACACCAGTGCAGGGCTGGGGTCATGGCATACTCTGGATGAGATTTTAAAAACAAGGCCCAATATCCATATTACACAGAAATAAAAGATCTTATTTCAGAAAGTAGAGGGTTCTATACCTCTGGCCAACTGATTTGCTTAGGTGTGTACCAGTTTAAAAGGTTTAAAAAGTTAAAAACATTTAAAAGGCATCTGGATGAATATCTGAATAGGCTTCACATTAATTAAGGGTAAGATGGTGGTGTAGTTGTAAATCATTGAATGAGCAATCCAGAAACAAAAGCCAAATTGGGATCGCTCAGTGGTTAGCATTGCTGCCTCACAGCACCAGGGACCCAGGTTCGATTCCACCCTTGGATGACTGTCTGTGTGGAGTTTGCACATTCTCCACGTGTCTGCGTGGGTTTCCTCTGGGTGCTCCAGTTTCTTCCAACAGTCCAAAGATGCGCAGGGTAGGTGGATTAGCCATTCTCCTTGCCCCTCATGATTTTATAAACCGCCAGGGTTGGAGCTATAGGGAGAGGCTGCAAAGGCTGGGGCTATTTTCTCTGGAGCGTCAGAGGCTGAGGGGTGACCTTATAGAGGTTTATAAAATCATGAGGAGCATGGATAGGGTAAATAGGCAAGGTCTTTTCCCTGGGGTGAGAGAGTCCAAAACTAGAGGGCATAGGTTTAAGGTGAGAGGGGAAAGATATAAAAGGGACCTAAAGGACAACTTTTTCACAGAGGGTGGTGCCTGTACAGAATGAGCTGCCAGAGGAAGTGGGCAAGGCTGGTACGATTACAACATTTAAAAGGCATCTGGATGAATATATGAATAGGAAGGGTTTAAGAGGGATATGGGCCAAATGCTGGAAAAAGGGACTAGATTTATACAGGATATCTGGTCAGCATGGATGAGTTGGCCCAAAGAGTCTATTTTCCGTGTTGTGTATCTTTACGACTCTAGATGTTGTAACTGTACCAGCCTCCACCACTTCCTCTGGCAGCTCGTTCCATACACGCACCACCTTCTACGTGAAAAGGTTGCCCTTAGGTCCCTTTTAAATCTTTCCCCACTCATTTGAAGCCTATTCCTTCTTTTTTGGGACTCCCCTACTCTGGGGAAAGACCTTGACTATTCACCCAAATCCATGTCCCTCATGTCTTTATAAGCTAAGGTCCGATGAAAAGAAAAATAAGTAGAGATAAGGTTTATATTCAAACAGGATCTCTTTAAAGGGAAAGCTCCAAACATCAACATGCCTGCTTTGATCTAGAAAAGCGTTTTTGATTAAAACATGGATGAGCGGTCCAGCTAACTTCTGTACTTACAGCTTTATTGACAGCTATTCGTAATTTTGCTTCCCCACCAAATTTGGCAGCAATCGCCTTGGTAACTGGCACATAAGCCATCGGGATGACTTCAATCGGAACACCTTTTTTCCATTTTTCACCGAGACTTTTTGAATCTTTCCTGAAAAAAAAAAAAGAATTCAAAAGATTACACGGCACAAACAAAAACTGTAAACTGCAGGAATTTACAATACTACTGAGCTGAAAGGCCTTCAGCTGAATCCAGAAAAAAGACTTCGAACCATTGGAGGATTGCATCAAATACACATCATTTACAAAGACACTTACTCTTATTGAACATAGAACAGTACAGGCCAAGCCCTTCGGCCCATGATGTTGTGCCAACCTATTATCCTATTAAGATCAATCTACCCTGCATGCCCTACATTTCACTATCCATGTGCCTATCCAAGAGTTGCTTAAATATCCCTAATGAACCAGACTCCACTACCACTGCCGGCAGCGCACTCCATGCACCCACCACTCTGTGTGAAGAACCGACCTCTGACATCTCCCCTATACCTTCCTCCAATCACCTTAAAATTATGCCCCCTCGTAATAGTTATTTCCGCCCTGGGAAAAAGACTCTGGCTATCCACTCTATCTATGCCTCTTATCATCTTGTACATCTCCATCAAGTCACCTCTCATCCTTCATCGTTCCAATGAAAAATGCCCTAGCTCCCTCAACCTTTCCTCACAAGACCTACCCTCCAGTCCAGGCAGCATCCTGGTAAATCTCCTCTGCACCCTCACACAGGGTACAAACAAAGGTGCTAACAACCCAGCCAGCCACTCACCTGTAATCTGCAACTACAATGAACTTCTTGGCACAGCCAGCAACAATCTTCTCCTGAGTCAAGCATCCTCTGTTGGAAAAGGGCAGGGGAGGAAACAGTGTTAGATTCAAAACGCTCACCCTTCTATCAGTCCTGACTAGAAACTTCCCAATGGGCTGAATAGCCTCCTTCTACACAGTAACACTTCTGCAACTCTGTGGATGCAGGAGGAAGATTGTTTGGCCAATCAAACTAAGTTTTTTCCCTCAAAGCTCTGGTCACGCGCGGAGAATTCCTACCTTGCAACATGTTTATTTTAACCCCGCCCAGACAAGAGTTGTGGGGGGGGGGGGGGGGGGGGGGGGGGGGGGGGGGGGGGGGGAGAAGGAGGGGGTGGTGGGGGGTGGTGGGGAGAGAGGCGTGATGGTGGGAGGGCGGTGAATGTTGAGACTGGAGCAATAACACATTATTCCCTCAGTGAAAGAATAACTGGGGAAGTCACACTAAGGAGATTAAGACTAAAGTAGTATTCTTGAGCATTATTTGTTTAACGTTATGGAAGAGGAACAGGCTCCACAACCTGTTCTTGCTCCAAGGAACATCCTGCACTTTTTGATAAATGCACATCCTTTCTATATCTAATATAGAAACAGCAAATACTCACCCTCCACCTTTGATTAAGTTAAGGTCACAGTCCACCTCATCTGCACCATCAATAGCAACATCGAGCTAAGAGTCATGGCAAAAGAAAATAAAAACATGTCAGTCCAGTTAACGTACAGCAACGCAGCTGTCCACGCAGATTGTTTAGCACATTATACAAGGCACTTTTGTTTTAAACCACAAGATGAAGGAACAGAACTAGACCATCCAGCCCATTGAGTCTGCTCCATCACGCAATGAAATAATAGATGATTGGATAATCCTCAACCCCATCTTCCAGCCTTATCCTCATAACCTTAGATTGCCTTACTGACTAAAAACATGTCTATATCAGCCTTGAATATATTGAACAACCCAGCCTCGATAGCCCTCTGTGGTAAAGAATTCCACTGATTCACTACCTTTGAGAAACAATTCCTTATCTGCCTTAAACATCCAACCCTTATTCTGAGATTATGTCCTCTGATCCTAGACTCTTCTTCAAGGGGAAAACAACCTCTCAGCATCTAGCCTGTAAAGTCCCTAAGAATCTTATATGATGGAATAAGGTCTCTCATTTCCCTAAACTCTAATGAGTACAGTCCCAATCTACTCAACATATCCTCATAAGAAAATCCCTCCACACCCAAAATCAACTTAGTGAACTTCTCTGGACTACCTCCAATAGAAGTATATCTTTCCCAAGATAAAGGGGACAAAACTATTCACAATATCGCAACTATGGTCTGACTGGTGCCTGTTTGGTTTTAGCAAATCCCAACTACTTTTATGCTCCATTCCCTTTGAAATAAAGATCAACTTTCTATTTGCCTTCCTATTACCCACAGCACTTGGAATCTAGTTCTTTGTAATTTGTGCAGGAGGATCCCAAAATCCATCCATGCTGCAGCTTTCTGTAGTCTTTTTCCATTTAAATAATATTCAGCTCTTCTATTCTTCCTTCCAAAGTGCATAACTTCATATTTCCCCACATTTTATTCTATCTGCCAAGTTTTTGCCCACTCACTCAACCTGCAAATTCTCATCCTCACCGCTCCCCTTCCCACCTATGTCTGTCAACCTTAACTTTTTATAAACAGTTCCTGCTTCAGCTCCTTGTCAAAATCTAAGGGTTCACCCCAAATCCGCCTTGCTAAGATGGGAATGAGCTGCATTCTTGAACTGCTACAGTACATGTGGGTTAGGTGCACCAACAATGGGGTTAGGATCGAGTCCCTGGACTTTGACACTGTGACCTGAAAGGTATTAGGACAGCAATTAGAATGTTACCATTTACTGTAAGGAGAGTCAAATACAAAAGTAGGGGGTTATCCTACAGTTATGCACGGAATAGTGAGCCTACATCTGACCTACTGGTCACCTCGTTGACGAAAGATATAAATTCAGTGGAAACTGTTCAGAGAAAACTCTCAGTATGAATGGCTATAATGGGTGGGTTGTCTAATGAGGCAAGGTTGGACCAGCTATCCTTGTATCCACTGAAAATCAGAGAACTAAGAGGTGATGACTGAAACATACAAAATCGCAGAAACACTTGACATGTGGGGAGAACGCATCCCCCCCTTGTTTGGGAGAATCTAGGACGAGAGGTCACTGTTTGAAAATATTCAGCCGCCCATCTAAAATAGAGGAATTGAAATTTCTTCTCTGTTATAAATCTTTGCAGCTTTCTTCCTGAAAAAGGTAATGGGAGCAGAGACATTGAATATTTCTAATGCTGAGGTAGACGGATTCTTGTCACACAAGGAGTCGAGAAGTTATCAGGTGTAGACGAGAATGTGAACGAGGTTATAATCAAATCAGCCATGATCTCATTGAATGGCAGAGGTGGCTCGAGGGGGCAAAATACCTCGATTCCTTATTCACGTGTTTGTAAAAAGAATAGTTATGTATTTTGAAGTCAAGCTGGCTTGCAATACAGAGTGAAGTTTGGGATTGATTGTGTTCCAATGTAGCTGCTGTCTTTGTCCCTGTAGGTGGTAGAGTTTTCAGGTCTAGAAGACACTGTAGAAGTAACTTAATGTGGTGGAGGGAGTGAATGTTCAAGGTGCTTGATGGGTAAAGGGTGGACAATTTTATTTGAAATTTAAGAGCCTGGAGCAGTGCTGTGTAACATTTTTGCCTGATTTACACTCCTGTTGCATAATGTACAAACAAACATTCTGCTTCCCATGTTCACTGTTCATATGACATATAAGCCATCAGCAGCTCTGGCAGTATCTGAAGAGAGAAACAGAGATAGTTATTCAGTCAGAAGTGATGAGCACTTTCAAAAGGGGAAACATTAACTCTGTTTCTTTCTCCACAGATGCTGGCTGACTGTTGTGCTTTTCCAGCATGCTGTTTTTATGCCAGATTTCCAGCAGCCACAATATTTCACTCACACATGGAAATTCTATTTGTTTTGCTAGCCCTCGGACATCCCCCTCCTGAAACAAGCAGCACAACGAAAGACAGAAAAACGTGCCCTACCTCAGGGTGCCTGTCCAGGTCACTGAGAGTCAACTGATGCTGTAGGATTAGTTGACGAGCCTGAAGGAGGAGAACAAAGACAGATACGCAGTTAGACACACTGTTGTTCTGCCATTCGCACATTTTGATCAATTAATCTGAACTAATAACATCCTTTCTCTCCCAGCACTCTACACTCCACCAACACCATTTCCCCCCCCTCCCCCACAACTATAGCATAAGTGCTGCCCCTACCAAAACTTCACATCAGCTCCAATGGCCAGTCATTTAGACTCAAAACATTAGTTTGTTCTTTCTCCATGAATGCTCCCTGACCTGCTGTGATCACCAGCATTTGTTGTTTCTAGTACAGTTTGACTGGAGCTACTAAAGATTGAGTACAAAGGGCTGCAGTCCTACTGTGAGGAAGCTGACCATCAGTGCACTTGCATGGAAAGTTCATTAATAGTCAAACAATTCACACAAATTTCATACAAAAAAGGTATCTCCTCAGAGGTTCAATAGTTATTTCAATCAGCCTGCTGTGAGACACCTCGCAAAGGTGGGATTTGAACCAGGACTCAGGGTTAGAGACAACGTCACTGCACCACAAGGCTCTTTTTGGAGAGTCAGAGATGTACAGCATGGAAACAGACCCTTCTGTCCAAGACATCCATACTGACCAGGTATCCTCAATTAACCTTGTCCCATTTGCCAGATTTGGCCCATATCCCTCTAAACCCTTCCTATTCATGTACCCATCCAGATGTCTTTTAAATGTTGTAATTGTACAAGCTTCCACCAATTCCTCTGGCAGCCCATTCCCATACACGCACCACCCTCTGCGTGAAAACGTTGCCCCTTAGATTCCTTCTAAATCTTTCCCCTCTCATTTTAAATGTATGTCCTCTAGTTTTGGAATCTCCTACCCTGGGAAAAAGACCTTGTCTATTAACCGTATCCATGCCCCTCAGGGTTTTATAAATCTCTAATATGGTCACCTCTCAACCTCTGATGCTGCAAGGAATATAGCATCAGCAAAACTACAACTTTCTTGCAGTAATCACAGGCATCACCAGAAACATTCTGAACCACTGTTATAGAAGATCACCAGATAAACAGCCCCCTTGGCTTTAAACTCCTATTGCATTCAAAAACAAGCTCTGGTTGAGAAGTTACAACTGGCTCCAATGCCCGAGTGTTAGAGAGAGAGATCATCAATGGCTCATTACTATCAAGTGACTTGTGGAAAGGGCATGTATACAGACAGGAGAGGATTAAAAAAATTCAGACTGTGCAAGGGTGCAACTCTTTTTCACAGTCAGACGCTCAATGCCCAGGTCTGCCAGGAACAGACTGCAGGTTAAGAACTGAAGCCAACCGGGAAATAACAGCCACCCAATTCTCATTCAGTTCCCTAGTTTGCAGTCAAAATTAAAACAATGACAGGTGGTGAGCACTTATCTAAAGTTATCATTTGTATTTTTTTTAAAAATGAAGTATTCTACCAACAGGGGAATGACACTCAGCTACTTCCATACTGATTTGCATTGTACAAAAGTGGTGATGAAAGATTTGCCTTACAATAACTCCTGACCATGTAGCCCAAAACATGACTCAATCCTTCACAGGATTACTTAGAACATAAAACAGTACAGCACAGTAACAGGCCCTTCAGCCCAACCACAATGCTACTCCAAACTAATCCCATCTGCCTTCACATGGTCCGTTCCCTTCTATTCTCTGCCTGTTCATATCTGCTTTTACCAACTTGCCTAGCACGCGTTCCAGGAACCCACCACTGTGTGAAAACCTGCCTTGCACATCTCTTTTAAACTTTCCCCATCTCACCTTAAACCTATGCCTGCTAGTATTTCACATTTCCACTCTGGGAAAGAGACTCCGACACTCCCCCCTATCCATGTCTCAAAATTTTACTGCTGTCAGGTCACCCCCTCAGCCTCTTATACTTTCTTATAGCTAATACACTCCATCCCAGGCAACATCCTGGAAAACCTCGTCTGCATCCTCTCCAAAGCCTCCACATCCTTCATATAGTGTGGCAACCAGAACTGTACGAAGTACTCCAAATGTGGCCTGATCAAAGTCTGACACAGTTTCAACATGACTTGCCAACTTCTATACTCATTGCCCTGACCAATGAAGGTAAACATGCCATACACCGTCTTTACCACCTTATCCACTTGTGTTGCGACTTTTAGGGAGCTATGGACTTGGACCTCTGATCCTTCTGTAGATCAGACCTAAGAGCCCTGCCATTTATTGTACACTTCCCTCTTGCATTTAATCTCCCAAAATGCATCACCTCACACTTGTCCAGATTAAATTCCATTTACCATTTCTCTGACAACAAGGTGCAGGGCTGG